TCTTGAATAAAACTTTTCATATCACTGGCATAATACAAATACCCTGGGAAGCATTTATGCAAAATCTATTGTCTTTCTCACTTAGCCTAGAAAGATCAGGAATCTTGTGTTAGAATGTTCCTTCCTTCATAACTACTATTATCGTTGGAGATCTATTTCTGGCTAAGAAATATACTGTGAAGTTATGATCAAACTGCCCAGAGCAAGCAAGTCAAATTAATGAATTAGTAGAATTATAGAAATCAGTCTAACCAATAGCTGCCAAGCCAGCATCTGCCTACCTAAATGCATATTTTGTTTAATTGGATTTAAGATTCTTATTGATATTTGCAATATTTTTCTCTTTCTGTAAATATTGGCAGTGAGGGTGCTGGATTTTGATTTCCAAAGCTTGCATTCATTTCTTCCTTGTGATAGGAAAAGACAGGAAACAAGTGAACAGAAAATGATTATTTGGGAGTGAGAGAGAATATTGGGCAAGGAGGGGAAATAAAAGAATATGAGAGTCTTATACCAAGAGAACTTGAAGGCTCGGCACCTGTGGCTCAAGTGGCTAAGGCGCCAGCCACATACACTTAAGGTGGCGGGTTCAAATCCAGCCTGGACCGGCCAAACAACAATGACGGCTGCAACCAAAAAATGGCCGGGCGTTGTGGCGGGCACCTGTGGTCCCAGCTACTTGGGAGGTGAAGGCACGAGACTCGCTTGAGCCCAGGAGTTGGAGGCTGCTGTGAGCTGTGAAGCCACGGCACTGTACCATCCAGCTTGAGGCTCTGTCTCAAAAAAAAAAATAAGAGAGAGAACTTGAAGAGGTTAAAATCCTCTCCAGATGACCAGCACCCAGTGTTATTAGGAGATATGGAAAGTATTTTTCACCAACACCGGCTTGTACATGTTATTTGTTGAGTGGGACTTGCTATCATCAGAGGTAGGAGAGTCACTTCTCCTCTTCAGTAGACATGAGAGATAAGGCAATTTGCTTTAGAAAAGCCAATGGAATTAAGCTGGTGTTTACTGTTTCATAAAGGAATAATGGACAAATTACCTAGCTAGACCATACCGGGTAGAATTGTTAGTTAAAATTGACAGCCAGTCCTGTAATTTACACTGCACTTTGGAAATTTAAGCAGAAGGCTCAGAGCTCTCTAACATGCATTGTAAAGCTTCTTTTGTACTTCTGGTTCATTTTGTGCTGGGAATTATTTAGCCATTGACTTTAACAGCTAATACAGTTCCATCAAATACCATGTATAAATCAAAATTACTGGATCATTCAAAATTTGTCCTTAGAGTTGTTTATATGTATTTCTTCCACCATTAGTTCAGTATAGTTACAAGAGAAGCTGCTAAATGATGATATATTGTGCATGCCTTGTTGCCATCTTACTGGAGCCTCTTGCAAATAAGATGTAATCCGTGACAAATTATTTGTCTAGTTATACAAAACATAAATAATGATAATAAAAAGGGAATCAAAGTGATGAAAGATGAAGAAGAGAGAGAGGAGAGAGGTTTCAAATAAATAGCTCTGCTTTTGGTCCTGGCTGTCCAAAGCAGGTAAGAAGATGAAGGAGGAATATTTTTTAACTAATTTTATGACACAGGGTCCTATATTCCTTCTGTCTCATCTAGCCTACTAGAGAATGATAAAAGACTCTCACTGGTCACATACATAGCCTTTTGTTTAAAACTGGATCTACCCACTCTCAGCCTTGTATGTAGAATCTGCATACATCATTTGTAAAGTCATTCTACTCAAATATTTGGCCTATACACATTATCATGGATCATGAAGACCATAGTGGGAGAAGTCCAAATTGGTGATTCCAGGTTCCCTAACATCCCTGCTATGTCAATGGACCCCAGATGGTGAAAATCATCCCAGTCTTTGATCTAAGAAAATTTTCCATGCTATCTTCATCTTTGTTTTATGGCTACTTCAGTTGTATTTCAAAGGGTAGACAGATAAACAAATTAGCATTTAGATTTATTCATGGTGATGTAAGAAATACTGTGTCAGGAACAAACTGTTAATCTCCTAATATGGTCTCTCTGCCTTTTCATACATTTCACTTCCAAAATTTCTACCAGGCACACCTGGAGAATTGTGAAATTCACCTACAAATGTCAACAAAGTCTTGTTAAGTGAAAGCCCTATCCCTACCCTCTACCTAAATCATTAGTTTCTCCCTTTATACTGTGTCTTTGGCAAAGCAATGTGATATTGGAAGACAAAAAGAAAGCAACAAATAAAAAAAAAATTCTATCTCAAATCATTATGGTCATTAATCTTACATTAACATGCTAAAACAAAAAATCTGAGAATGGGTCCTTAATGTATCATACTTTCCCCTCACCGGTATGACAATACAAACATAACCCTGATGTATGAGGCACTATCTGAATGCTCTAATAGCAGCATCAACAAGAACCATTAGAATTATGTCATAATAACAAGACATATTTTCTTCAGATTCCAGAATTCAGGAACATCTTTTTCTGAAAGATATTTTGAAAGCTCTTATGAGTCTTGTAAATTTGGACTGTCACTGCTGTATCCTCCTAGGCATCAATAATCAGCCGCTAACACAGGATGTTGGCTCTCTAGGGCCCCAGATCAAATCAGCAAAGCAGTTTAGAACTCTAAAGGGAGAGAAGAGCCCCTGCAATTAAGGGTGTTCTGCCCATATATAGAATCAAATTTTCCAGGAACACAGCTTAGTATAAACCACGTTTCATGAACATTTCAACATAATATAATGAACACAAGCGTTTCAATAAAGCAGATAGCAGAGCAATTTGTACTAGCAGATGGTTCACCCTGGGATCAGACCAATTATCTTCTTACTCTACATACAGGGGCAGCCAAAGATTCAACAGTTGACTATTCAAAACAACTTAGCAATACAAGTGAATTTCTAAAGTACTAAAACAAATAGGATTCTCATTCCCCCTCTTTAGAAGCAAGTTCTGAAAAGTGTTCAGAAGAATAAAAGACGATTTCTTAGCAGTGTGTGCATGGTCAGCCTGCTAAGTTTTGCCAGGGAACTGGATTCGGAAGATGGAGGGCTCAGCAAACTCCTTACAATGTCACCTCTGGAAAAATTGGGCCTCTACTCCTGGTACCCAGGAAAAATGGCTCTTCTTCCCTCTTGTATCTCTCATTTTGTCATCCTGAATCTATGGACAGATCAAATTCCTGAAGCAAAAACCAGTTACCAAAACAAAGTTTGCATTTCAGGTACTGAAGAAATATGACTTTGTACATCATTTTCTGTATTATTAGATATTCTGTAGAATATTAAGCTAGCATACCCAAACTTTGAATGGTGTTCAATATATGTTTATTAGGAAAAAATGGTTAAATATAGAAAAGACCAGCCAAGCCCATTGTCTCATGCCTATAATGCTAGCACTCTGGAAGGTCAAGATGTTCAGCTAGTTTTTCTAGCTGGATTGCTTGACCTCAGGAGTTGCTTGAGCCTGAGCAAGAGTAAGACTCTGGCTCTACCAAAATTAGAAAAATTAGTCAAGTATCGTGGCAGGTACCTGTAGGCACAGCTACTGGGGAAGCTGAGGCAAGAGGATTGCTTCAACCCAAGAGTTCAAGGTTGCTTTGAGCTATCATGCCATGGCAATCTACCCAGAATAACAGAGATTCTGTCTCAAGAAAGAAAAAAAGAAGAGAAAGGAGAGAAAAGAAAGGAAAGAAAGAAAGGAAGGAAGGAAAGGAAGGAAAGGAAGGTGGTGGGACACAGTAATTCACACCTATAATCCTAACACTCTGGGAGCCTGAGACAGGTGGTTTGCCTGAGCTCAGGAGTTCAAGACTAGCCTAAGCAAGAGCAAGACTCTGTCTCTACTAAAAAAAGAAAAACTAGCTGAACACCTATAGTTCTAGCTACTTGGGAGGCTGAGGCAAAAGAATTGCCTGAGCCCAAGAGTTTGAGGTTGCTGTGAGCTATGATAATGCCATAGCATTCTATCTAGGATGACCAAATAAGACCCTGCCTAAATAAATTAATTAATACAGAAAAGACAGATAAATAATATTTATCAAAAGATTAGTTCAAATCACCTGAGTTATAAATACTCCCATTGATTGCTTTGAGTTGAAGTGCAAAAACTCCCAAATTTGGAATATCTACAGAAATAATTAAAATATAAATGTGGAATTAAACACATATGTGTGTGCTCAGTCACTTTTGTATACCTAAGTAAAACAAAAGCTAAAATTAAAATATAACAAAAAATATTTGGTGATGGAGAGTTGGACAGAAGGGAAATGAATAAATTAAGCCCCTGCAATTTGAGACTTACAGGGAGATACCCACCCAGAAAAGATGTGAAACAAAGAGATGTTCATAAAATGTGTGTATTGGGAAAAACAAAACAAATTTAAAAATGGTTACCCATAGGAAACCAAGGGAGCAGAGACTCTTAGAATGTTGAAAGCCTAGATTACATGTAAATCTCACTGAATCCATCCAGATACTAGACATCCCAGCTTCCTCCACCTTCATGCAAAGAGAAAGAGATGCCCTCTAGTTTGGAGCAGAAGTAAAAGCCATAGAAAAATTAGGGCACAAAACTGAACAGAGACTACCCTGAAATCTTGAGCCTTCTCTTTAGCAGAGTCCTTCTAGATTTAATGACTCCCAAGTCTACAAATTACTACCAGGTATGAACTGCTGCCCTGAGATGAATAAAGTAGCTTCACATGCCCCATGGTTGACTGAGTACATTTTAAGTATATTCGCTATTTAGGAGGAAGGCACCAGAGACAAAGTGGGGCTTGGCATGAAGCTCCCTAGGCCTTGAAGACTGAGTTAATTTTATCATCTCAGATAGAAGTTGCTGAAGCAGTGCTTTACTTTCTGGTGTCTACTTGCAGAACAATCTCAGAATCTCTGTAATCCCTCAGCTATTCTTGTTCCACTGAGAAATAAGAGAAAGAATGAGAACAAAATTCCAAAGAAATAATCATTTATTTATGTTTTTTTAATATGGAATACTTCATGAATTTGCATGTCATCCTTGAACAGGGGCCATGCTAATCTTCTCTGTATCATTCTAATTTTAGTATACGTGCTGCTAATGGGAGTAACAAGAGAAATATTTATTTGTTTATTTATTGATACAGAGTTTAACTTTATCACACTCATTAGAGTGCTATGGTGTCACAGCTCACAGCAAACTCCAACTCTTGGGCTTAAATGATTCTCGTGCCTTAGCCTCCCAAGTAACTGGGGCTACAGGCACCCACCACAATGCCTAGCTATTTTTTTGCTGTTGTAGTTATCATTGTTGTTTTTAGCAGGCTGGGGCTGAGTTCAAACCCACCAGCCCAGGTGTACGTGACCAGTGCCCTAACCGCTGAGCTACAGGCACTAAGCCATAAAAGAAATAATTTTTTAAAACACTTGGACACCAAGTGCCAAGCACTGTGCTAACTACTTTGAAGATGTTTAATTTAATCCTCCTTATACTTTGTGAAATAGGTCTTATTATTCCCATTTCTGCATAAGGAAACTTTGGCTGTTGTTTTATCCTTTGGATTCTAGACTAAAAAGCCTGATGATCCTTTTAACATATTTTTATTATTTGAATCAAAGATACTTTCATCACCCTTAGATCATCCAGAGACACTTTTGTGCCTTTTCACTATTAGCTTTCATTTCAACTATAGTAATTTGGCTCTGCTCTTATAGCACAATGATTAGGGCTCTAGCCTCATACACCAAGGATGGCAGGTTCAAACCCAGCCTGGGCCAGCTGAAAATAAAAATAAAAAGTAAAACTTCTTGGCAGTGCTTGTGGCTCAGTGAGTAGGGTGCCACCCCATATACTGCGTTCAAACTCTGGCCTGGCCAAACTGCAAAAAAAATTGCCAGGCATTATGGCGGGTGCCTATAGTACCAGCTACTAAGGAGGCTGAGGCAAGAGAATCACCTAAGCCCAAGAGCTGGAGGTTGCTGTGAGCTGTGATGCCACAGCACTCTACCGAGGGTGACAAAGTGACTCTGTCTTTAAAAAAAAAAAAAAGAAAACTATAATAACTTAACCTGAGATTATCACAAAACACACACACACACACACACACTGAGCTCTATAGGTAAGGTAATGGGATGGGAAGGAAAAGGAGAGAAATTTTTCTAAGCTCCTCTGATGATTATATTTAACTGACATATTAGTTTCGTTGCCTAGGAGATATGCTTTTGACCCCATCTATTGTAGTAACAACAGTCAAGAAAACAACACCAGCAACAATAAAAAACACTGTAATGGAAGGGCTTGCTACGTGCCAGTCATTGTTCTGAGTATTTGTCGTATAATATTTAATAAATTAATTCTTTTACAAGAATTACTGAAGCATTATCATACAATTATGATTTCTATGTTCTTTTCTTTTATTTGAATAGTGAATAGTTATAGCTGAAAGAATTTACCATACAATCGAATTCTAGTAATTTATTTTCTAGGACAAACATATTGATAGTTGTAGATATCTAAAATGCAAGTTTCAAACTTATTTCACATTGGAATTCTAGTATTTATTTTCTCGACTACTTCCTTAAAAAGAGATGATTTGTTCCTCCTGTTTTTTCTATTGAAATAGAAATGTATGAATCTCTTTATCGTATAAGAACAAATATCTTAAATCTGGACCTGCTCTGTTTTCTACTTTTAAATTCCATCATTTAGAGAAAATTTCTATACCTATTGTGAAAAGCGTCAGGTGCCCATGATATGAGATGAAGTAATGTCATCTTATTCAATGATTTCAAAAGCATCAGGCATTGGGTTTTCTTGCCAACTAACTAAACCTGTTCCTCATAATGATATTGGTAGACGGTAGAACAGATGCATGACAGCTGGCTCATGAACTTCAACATCTCAGCCATTTCTTGGCACCACTATCAATGTTTTTCCCTGAATAACAATCCTAATTGGCTAACATTGTACAACTCTGGGGTTTGAAGTCTTAAATACATTACTTAATTATTGATTTTCAAATTATAAGTCACACAGTGGGTGGTGGATAGTTAGGCACTTATAGTTGAGCATTACTTTATTTTCCATGAGCGTAACTTATAGGTTATAGGATTTTTTCCTTAATTAGTTAGTCTGCAAAGAGTCATTTCTTGCCTAAGTTTTATCCAACAGTATAATTTTTTATAGTTGAGTTGTAAAATCTTTGCAATAGGATTTTATAATAGGAAGCAACAAATTCTAGCTGCAGTTCAACCGTCTGCCTTTAATAAATACATGCTCCTTTCCCCCTGCAAACCTTCACATTTTCTTCCCATGACCCAAGGTTAAGAGAGAGATTGAGAGAGAGAGTAAGAAAAAGAGGATAATTAAAAAGAGACAGTTAGTAAATCAGCACTGTGAAAAAGTTATATAGCACTAAGTCAGAATTCTTCTTTTAAATATGATTTATAATTTTACTACTGTCTTCATTAATGGCTCTTCATTTAAAGTCAAGGTAGACTTTTCAGGACCATGGACAGAAACACATCACTCCCCTCTTTCACAAGCAGCAAACTCCTCACTGGGTATGGCAGTATCAAATACTGAGAGTTTCTGAATGACAGTTATATACATTCATCTTCATTTGAGGGGGCCATCTGGTTTATTCATACTTCTGGGATTTCAAAACTCAATGAAGATGGATATTGCCCAGGACACTTGAAGCCTTCAGGCAAACCAAGGACAAATGTGCCTGTCCAAGAAACAAAATACAGTGCTCTTAAAAATCATGGTGTTGCCAGATTTGCTAATAATTATATTGTCTTTAATTCAATAATTTTGTATTTAGAGGAAGAGTGACAGGATCCATCAACATTAGTTTTCTACCTTGTTCCCTCAGGGAGATTAATAAAGCTCAGTCGAGTACCATTTTATAATTAGATTCAATTTCCATCACATAAACTGTTTTGAGTACTGTGAAAAAATGTTCAGGAGTACCATGATATAAACTGAAAATAGAAATAAAGAACCAGGAGCTGAAATGTGTGAAGTGGACAAGTTAGAATATAAAATGTAGACTCTCAGTTATGAAGGAACTTAGCTTGGATATACTACTCTTGGGGAAATTTATATTGAGAGATGGAGAGGAAGAAATAAATGTAGAAATGGATATATAGGGAAGAAATTATTATCTTTATGTTATATAGAAAAATTTAATGGATATGAGGATGAGTCAAAGAAACAGAGTGAAAAGTATACTTTTTGCCTTAAGATTTTATCACTTCATGTCTATCTATAATATTTTGCCTCTAATCTTCCAATTTTGAGAAATGGATCATAATTTTATGCTTGCTGAATACAGGTAAGGGAGGCATTGTGACTTGAAGATATTTATTTGGAAATCATTCTACTTTTTGTCATAAAATTTAAATTTTTTTCTTCTAAAAATCAAAGAGCATTTATTCAAATGTTCCTGGTTTCAGCAAGTAAAGCACTTCATCTACTTTGCTCACTGCTGAATTTCTATCACATAAATGAGCATATAGCAAAAACTCAACACATTCTTATTAAATAAATGAGCATTTCTGACTTCTGCCTTTCAAATTTATACCCTATTCATAAAGAAGGAACCTCATTTGCTTTTTCTATGCTTTCTCTGACAACCTCCATGCCTGCTAAAGGTAGTATAGAGGTCAAAGGGTGGTGGTCGCTTTCCTCTTCATCATAAAAGTCACAGCAGACAACCCTATAACAAAAACGGATTACCAAGAGAAAAATATAGGCTGGGTGTAGTGGTTCACGTCTGTAATCCTAGAATTCTAGGAGGCCAAGGCAGGTGGAGTGCTTGAGCTCAGGAGTCCAAGAGCAGCCTGAAGAAAAATGAGATCCCACCTCTACCAATAACAGAAAAACTAGCTGGGTGTTGTGGAGGGTTCTTATAGGCTCTGCTACTCAGGAGGCTGAGGCAAGAGCACCACCTGAGTCCATGAGGTTCAAGTTGCTGTGAGCTATAATACCAAAGCACTCTATCCAGCATGACAGAGTGAACTCTGTCTCAAAAAAAAAAAAAAAGAGAGAGAGAGAGAGAAAAGCATAACAAATATATTTGTTTTATATGACATGGGAGCCTTCAGAATGAAGTTTCAAAGATACATGGAAGCTATCTGATTTTATGCTTAGGTTTGATAAAGCAGGGATAGCGACGTAGAAATGTGATTGGATGAAAAGGATATGGTCTAATAGTAATAGACTGACTAGAAGAATCCCAGACAGGCCTGTCTATGTAGATTCTTCTTGGCTTCTCTGGTATAGCATTCCTTCCTTCTAGATGTGGGCCCTCTGGAATGAGGGTCTTAATTTCTTTATAGCCAGCTTTCACATGGAAAGATGGAGGACAATTAGAGTAATATTTTTAGGCTTGATTAAAGGCTAGTTTCGGGGAAAAGGGATTCTGGTTTCTATGACCCACCTCAAGAAAAGGAATTCTCATTTCCATGGCTTACCTCAGGAGAAAATGAGGGGCAAGAGACAGTAGAGGAGGAGGTCAGAGAGATACTTTGCTTCTGAGGCCTGCATTTGGGGGTATCATTTTCTAAGCCACAGTAATGACATGCCTGTCCTTTAAGCTCACATCACTCCATGTGTGTGTAACTTCCTTGGAGCATTTATGTCATTCTTGGAACAAAGGAAGTTTGGTAGGTATCTTATTTCAATTACTTGAATACAGTCTACAGGAGAGCAAGGATTACATAATAGAAACTCGATAGGTATTTAATGAATATTTTTTCAATGGAATTAAAATTTTAGCCTCAATTCTTTGCACTGACCAAACACCCTAGATAATTCCTGGCCCAATACCCTCTTCTTGCTTTACGATAACACTCCTCTAGAATGTTCCAGAGGTCTGTCACTCACTTTTCTAACTAATAATAATCATAGCCAGCACTTGTTATTGAGCACTGAGTTAACTGCTTTAATTTCACTATCAGCTTCATTTTTGCATAAAGTCTATTATTATCCCCCATTTTACAACTGAGGAATTGAGCTAAACAAGGGATAAATAAAACTGGTCCCAAGTCACATGGCTTTTCAACAGCACAGTGTGGCCTGAAATCAGTTATGTCTAAGGAAATG